CCAACCATCAGACATGTTCAGATGCGGCTACCACCTGCCTGTCAGCCAAAGTCATGTTGTTTCTAGCTAGGACCTAGTGTCACAAATTGAAGAGTTGCTGGCCTCCGGCGTAGAAGGGGACATGTACAGTACCGTGGAGGCCGCCACAGCTACATGAGGCGCATACAGCAAAGACCGATGGAAGCAGCTACCCTACTGACATAACATTATTGTCTTGGTTTTTGAGGTGCATAGGATGAGAAGAACACGTTGAGCCGTGATGACAGGAGAAAACCAACCTGGCCCAGAATAATTATGTAACACTACATGTGGTTTAATGTTTCTAGAAAGTTCTGCATGTGTTTCTTCTGTAGCTATTGAGGCGGCCATGACAGGGCCACAGTGCAAGGGAGAAGGGCCAGAGGGAAGTGAGAGATGACATGGGAGTTCAATGCATAATGAAAATCTCTCCTCTGCTCATTCCATCTGTGGATCACTCAGAAGTCTTTGAAATGAAGGGAGAGTTTCAGGTAAAGGGAAGAAAGAGAGACACATACAACTCCTTTCCACTGCTCCTTTCCCTTGCTTTTCTCTCAGTTCGATATTTAAATGGTTGGATTTTTTTCCCCCTCAATTGCTGTTTGTTGATCATGTTTGTATCTTCACAGTGTGCTTTTAGAGTGGCTGTTCCTGACTGGCCGAAGTCAGTGGGTGATGTGTCAGTACGGGGAGAAGAGGATTGGCCCGTGGGTGGTGCGGATGGGCCCAGGGGCGGGTCTCAGGATGGCGTGGCTGAGAGGAGGGCCTTGCAATAGGTGATGGTGCGGGTGGTGTGCAGGAGCTGCTGCACGGAGAGCCAGTGGGTTCGAGGATGCTGCAGCGGCCATTGCTGCAGCAACAGCCAAGGGGTTGGGCAAAAGCCCTGCACCCAAAGCTTTGGTGAGATCCTTGGAGAAGGTCAAAGAAGACTAGAAGGGGTGCATAAAGAGACACAAGACAAAAAGAGAAAAGAGAGAGAGGGGGATAAAAGCATTAGTTCCAGAAGGTCAGCACATGGAGGGGAAACAGATATAGAGACCTTATTGCCATAATGCAGATGTTTCAGTTCAATTGAGTTAATATGTTCAGGGGCAGAACACAGCCAAAAACAGAACAACTGGCAGGCTTTTGTAGGGATCAAATCAACACATTCTAATCACTCCAAGGCCTTTCAGACCTTGAGTTCTTGATTATCACTGTCTATCTGATCTGTGGATCTCAGGTTTGTTGACTTGAGGAGTCAGAATTCAACAGTGAAACTTGAAAGGTTACCGTCAGATCAGCTCCCCTGTGCTTCTTGTGTCGGCTGAGGAGGGGGTTAGGCTTGCCTGCCATGCCGTCCCGGTGTCTTCGACTTGATATGTGCTGAAAGGAAAGAACACAGGAACAAGTTATTCCCATTTTATCTAAGTGAGGATATTTTTGTACAGGTTTTGGGACTGACTATATCTTGAGACCTTGAAAATTTGTTTTAAAATTAAATAATGGTAATTACAAATGTTCTCACAAAATTCTTGTTAGTATGCTATTTCCAAATGCTTATTTCCAAATAGTCAGTTATGTTATATGTAAAGTATTTTACAGATAATTGACTCATAATATTTTTGTATAGAAATACATATGGTGCATGATTTCTTTATCCTACCTGTTTGAGTTGCAGTTCAGAGTTGACCCGCACGTTGCAGATCTCACAGTGGAAGGTTCGTTCCTGAGTATTGGGGTCCACCGGCCCCCCTCCCTGCTCTCCACTGGGCTTAGGGCCCAAGCGAGGATACGCCTTGATGGGGCCCAGCCCGCTCCGTGCCTCCAGGATAGTTTTGTGTTTGGTACCTGCAGGCAGACAGGCACACACATACACAAGCAAAAAGTGTCACAGGTCAGCAATTCCATTAACCAAGATGAAATTATATATTTAGAAGCTAATGGAATTGAATGAAAAAATACAGTGGAGATGAATCTCTATTTATAACATATGAGTCATGCTGCTTCCATCTGTCTGAAGTAAAATGAGTCTGGACAGCGTTTCTCTGCAACTCAAGCACTGATGGAGAAACAGTGACAGTGACAAATGTCAGTGCATGTAAGAAAAGAAAATGTCTACCACTGGCTTGATTCTCCAATAAATTCCCACATATACACAACATTCAGAGTTGTATAAAGTTGTAGTGCTAAGTTTTTACCACTAGAGGGCTGCAGTCAAACAGCTGTGCAGCTGATGATCTGAAGGATGAACTCAAAGGCCTCTCTAATGTTAATATTATATTAACTTTTAACGTTGATAATGTTTGATTCATGGGAGTGGGTGAGATAAGGTCATACAGTATTCACAGCATTAAATTATACCACCACATGTGCCAACATCAATGACAGTGCTGGACCACTAAACCCTAACTGTCAAGATCAATAATTTGACTGTAAATGTCAAAGTTTGGAAATTTATGGCCGGGTTATTATAAGAAGCAGGTTTGTCTGGTCTGAGGATAGATTTGCAGTCAGACATTTGCTGTGCCAATCATGACACCTGTACTTTTTTCTGTTTCACTAACTATTTATGTGATGAAATAGCACTTATTTAAGGGCTGTACTTTTGTCATACTGAGAACAAATGAAGATCTCTAAAATCTAATTCTGAGAGAGGTTCACAGTGTTTAACACTCGATATGGTCATGTTTCTGGTTAAACAGCCAATGTTTCTGTCAATTATCAATACTGCTGAGCAATCTTGTTTCATTCAACAATTAAATAAAAAACTCAATTGATGTATTTCTTGGCTACAACAAGAAATAGATGTGAACTTGGGCCTCTTAATGGGCTCAACGTGTTCTGACCCAACGCCCTGTCGTAAATCCAATCATGAATCCAGCAAGAATAAAAACCTGGCAAATATTCAGCAATTCAAGTCAGATGTGAAGATAGCCATCTGCTAAAAATAATTCTAAACTGTGGGGTGCATGTTTCATACATGTATGTGTAGTTTTTCTATATGCAGTGCTTTCTCAATTTGAATAAATCCCACTCCAGGTGGTGAATTTGCAAAGAAGACCACATACAGAGAGGTGCTCTCACACATTACTTTCCCTTTCAAGTGGTCTGCAAAGCAGCACACCAAAGAGTGTTTTGCTATTAAGTAATCACACATTTTGTTCTTGGCTGAAAGGTTTTAGTCATGCCCCCCAATCAACCCCCTACCCCCTTTACTGGCATACCTCTCTATTCTCAAAGTAAAGCATCCTGCTGTCATTGGCTCTGACTTTGAATTTTTAGTCACTCTTTGAAATCCCTTTGAACAGAGTTAAGGTTACAGAAGTGAGAGAAATCATTGGGATGGGGTGGCTGTTGGGAAACATGGAGGCTCCACTGGGGAGGAAGGGGCTGGAATGACGGATTTCGCTCGTGGCCAGAAATGTGCTCTTTGGGTGTCTGTTTTTGCCTTTGTTCTATTTTGGTCTGACAATGGATGGCCCAGTGGATTTTTTGTCTTTGTAAGGTTGACTCATAGTGTAAAGCAACACACAACCAGACAAGGCATATTTGAAAACACAAAAATAGGCATTGGGTTGACAGGAAACTGTTGTGTAAAAGTTGAAATAACATACTTTCACTCCTTTTTTTTTTCTGGTGTTCATTCAGTGCCACGCACGCTGCTCATGTCTAGATGTCTGCGTGACATATGCTTTTATTTTTGAACCCTGCTAACATGCACAGTTTTGATTTTGAGGGTGATTGCTTCCAGATCGTTTCCCTTATACAGTTTCAACTCGTAGTCATGCAGGGGTTGAATTTTGGAGCCAACTAGCTGACAGCAGACTGTGACCTCTATGTGTGTGTGATTTCTTTTTATACTGCGTGTACATCATAAACATGCTAGTAGGCAGATGTAACACAAATGTATTGTTGTGTACTTGTTAGATAAACAATTAATCAGCACAAGATAAAGCATGAAGCCTTGCAGAGGTTAATCTAACCATAATGATGGCCGTGATTGCACTTTTATTGATTAATGCTTTATCCACAATAAGAGGTATTTGTTGGCTGCTTTCATGTCTGGCTGAGCTGGCTGCACAACACATTACTCAAGACAAGTGGGATACAGTTACACTGAGTCAGTCCCTCATTGTTTGTTGTATCTCTGTAGGTTTTTTTGGTATGTGTAGGAAAATGAATAACTCTCCAAAATAGAGAGTGGAGGTCAGCACATAACAAAATGTCGCCAGAGAAAAACAAGGTCAAAAGAAGAGCTAAGTTAGAAGGGCATAAAGGATTAAAGAAGGCAGCGGGCACCTGAGTGTCGTCATGTGTGAAAGCTGTCTGACAGAATGCTGAAGCTGGTATTGTGGTGAGCTCACCCACATAACATCCTTTTTTTCTTTTATTCCCCATTTAAATCCCCTGTGCAGTGGTTACCCGCCTTAACCATCCTCCTCTGCAACTGTTTCAAGTGGAAGGCTTCAGGCTATGAGGACCAGTTTTTATGCTGCGCACTGCAAATGACAGGACAAACCATGAATGTTTAAGTGGGGGTGAGTGTTCTTGTGCCTTGTGTGGGTGAAGAAAGCGGAGTGTGTTTGCAGCAGCTGCTCTATGAGAGAGCGGGCACACACAGGTGAGGCACCTTGACACAGCTCCTGAAACCAGGAGATCAGTGCTTGATTACATAGGTCGAGCCTGTCAGTGTCAAACAGATCAGTTATCTGCTGATCAGTGTTCTTCTCAGTACCCTCTGCTGGGTCGCAGTCAAGTCATCAACTGAGATGGTAGCACTGACAATAATGGCAGTCAGGTAGTTGACTGTATGTTTGTGTGTCTTTATGCGTATGTGAGGAGCCAAAAAAAGAAAAAAAATATCTGCCAGTATTGGTGTTATTTCATATTGCCAACTGATTTAACTCACATTTCAATCTCCACACAATTTATTAAAACTGCTACATTCTTCTAGACCTGGTGTTGTAACTGTAATAAATCAATAAAATATTAATCATCCTTCCATCAGTCATGTTATTAAACTGTCCGAAAAGCAGTAGTAAATGATTCTGAAATAAAATATTCAACGATATTTCCACAATAAATATATAATGCTGACTTGCAAATATAATTTAAAAGGAAGATGTAATAGTTGTATTACATAAAACCTGAAAGAGATCTTTTCAAGTGGAAAAACAGGGGTTTTTTAATTAATTTTTCTTTTGAACTGACAAACTTTTGGTTTTCCCTGAGCCCACTAATAGTCTTAACATTGTCTAGAATTGTCTTGAACAACCACTGCAAACACTTTACAGCTTTTACATTTTTGGAAAGTCATAATAACATAAAAGTTGCAACATGAATCTTTCTTAGTAAAATTCCTCTTACACACAGGATGTGATTAATTTAGTTTCCAGCAAAAACAACAGCTGCTGTGTGGTTTGAGTTAAACAGTTGAGTTCAACAGAGAAGAATCCAACCATAGCTGAAAAACTGAGGGAAGAAAGTTTCACTTCAAGAAAGTCATCAGCAGAAGATCCGAGGGGAACGACATCACAGTTAATTCCACATTGTTTGATTGCCAGCTAATTGCTGGCAAATGCAGGAGTAATGCAGAACTTTCAACGTATCAGAGCTCACAGATTAACCCACCTTTGTTGTGGGCCTCCAGCTGTGACAAGGAATTGACAGCCACCTTGCACAGTGAGCAGTACAGCAGCTTCTTGGCCTTGTCCTCCTCTGTCTCTGGATTGGACGGGCTGCTGGAGGATGAGGTGCCGGCGGCTCCTGAAACCAGGGGTCCAGATCCGGGCTGCTCTGAGCTGGCACTGCCACTGCCGCAGCCTGGGGAGGAGGAGGAAGGGGGGATCAGGGGAGGAGTGGGGGTGGGC